GGTAATATCATATATATATCATATATCAAGGTGATCGCTCACGTGATCCAAATGTTTTTTTAATCTGGTTAGTGTGCCAATTAGAAATGAGAAAATTACATTAAATACACATACATGCAGAGGTATCACAGTAAAAGCCATGCTTACTGTATTTCTAAAAAGGCACAAGTACTCACCAATAATAAACTGAGATGATTAAACAGGTTATTCAAACAGTTTCTATTTACATTTATGTTCTCCCCCTAAATCCATAGCTGTGTTGTTCTAAGCAGTTATCCTGTAGGTGAACAGTACTATCCCCCCACAGCAAGTGACCCTCTCCTTAACTCATATTTAAATATTAATATTAACAGCAAGCTCCCCACACAGGTGTATGCTCCACACAATCATCAAGTATGTTAGCATGGAAAAAAACAGCTCTGACAGAGCCACAGCTCTTTGCTCTGCCGACATGCAGCCGCTTGCACATTACACGCATGGAAAACCCACGGTTCTGTCCATGTCAAACACCAGGCATGTGCGTTTTGTTTACCTCTCTAACTGAGCCCAAGACTGAGACTAATTTTACATATGTGCATACTAATGCTGAAGGCGCTACCATTAAAGACTGTCCATGGTGCTGGCCATTTACCAAACTTCTCTGTGGATCACAGAGAGACAAGAGACAATTACTGTGTAGCAGTGGGCAATATAGCTTCAAAAGTATATCGCAATACTTACGCAAATTTGCGATAATGATAATTCTGATGATATACAAACAAAATCCTAATTAGCAATGGGTGAGTTCAGATGACAGGTAGCAGCATTTAATAGTGCCAACATGAAAAATATTTTCCATCCTTCTTTTCCAACAAGTTACTGTCATCGATGACACAGTGATACTGACACAGCAGCATTTCCAGTGCCACAGAATAACACAAATGGAAGCCCAAAAGTAGCCAACCAGTAGGGCAACAAAATAACTCAACAATTGTTCAGTGTTCCTTTTATTTGTTTATTTTATTTTTTTTACAGAATGCTAATCTCACAGGAGCCAGGCTGCAGTATGTGTAAAGAGATTATGAGTTTCACAGCTTTTCTAAACCAGGGGTAGAGCAGTGCATAGATCAAAGGGTTTAGACATGAGTTAAAATAGAACAGATAGAGCAAAAAGGATACAGATGAACTATTGAGTAGGTCGTCCCTGGCAAGAGTAACACAATAATAAGGGCAGAAACACAGTAGAAACACAACTACAAGAACACCCAGAGTCCTGGCTGCTTTTAACTCTGATCTCTTTGTTGTTAGAGTCACTGAAAGCTGCAGAGCAGCAGCTGTAACATGAGAGCGCATGGCGCGAGCCTGAGACACAGCCACCACAAATACTCTCAGATACAGAACTACAATGACAGTAACTGGAACAAAAAAGGTTAAAAGAAGGTCAATCGTTCCTGTAATTAAGTCAACAACAATTGTACATTCTCCATAGCAGGAATTATGCTTCCCTGAATGAGTTAGATCATCCTTTACAAACAGGCTGCTATAGAAAACAGAAGAGAGCCAACACAGACAGACAGAGAGTTTCACTCTTCTGTCTGTGATTCTGGTGGGGTAATGCAGAGGGTCACAAAGAGCCACATAGCGGTCAATTGATATTAACACCATGTCTCCCACTGAGGTAGAGGTAACAATTAAAGACATATAATCGTACATAAAACAGGTGAGGTCACCGAGAAACCAGCAGGCTGTATTTCGGAGGATTTCTCCAGGCATCAACAGGAGACCAACAAGAAAGTCTGAGACAGCCAGAGAGAGGAGGAGGATGTTAGTGGGTGTATGAAGCTGCCTGCAAGAAGACACAAAAATTATTAAATTAACAGTCCTCAAATCGCTAAATTAAAGCAACCCAACAAACAATAAAACATTAGCTCTTGGTAAGAGAAAAACAGTTTTGATCATTTCTAATCGACCACTTCTATATAGATGGTTTAATTGTATACACCACTGAGGTCACAAAAACATCTTAAGTCAATTAGCTCACAGAATGTATAAGCTACACACAGCTATTAAAAAAACAACAACAACTCTGCCTGTAGTGGGAGACTGAGATGATGACGAGCAGGTTGAGAGTCACAGTTAGCAGCGAGATGGAGGACAACACAACATGAAGGAACACAAATTCTGACAGAGGAGTTATAGGTTTCTTGCAGGAGGTGTTGAAGAGTTGTGGAAAACAGAGCTCTGCCACGTCCTGTGTATCCATTTTCAGACAGACCTGTAGCTCTATGTAGCATTACAAACGGAATTAGTTATATAACTCACCCCTTCTCACTCCGCCCCTCGTCTTTTTCTCAATGTCAGTTGGATATCTATGTGCTCCATCCCTCACTGTGGATTTCAATTTCTTTTCTGCAGTACCCTTAGCTGTCTCTCTCTCTCCGATCTTTCTAACTGGTATACTCAGCCTTCTTCACCATTTACAACTTCTTTTTCTTCTAAAAAGAATGTCCTGTCTGATGCCAATATTTTCAGACTAAGTGACTTCTTACATTTGTGTGTTTCTAATGCCTGCTGAGGAGCACTTCCACTTACATTACAAATTTTTGTTTGCCAAGACCAGGGTGAAATTTGTGCCAGAGTTAAATTCTTCTTCAAGTTGGCACTTGTTTGCCATTTGACTTACAATGTAATACTGTTGAATTTCAAAAGTAAAAATGTTCTCAGTAAACAAAAAAAGCACATACATATCAAACTTGGAAAACAGGCTGCTTTGATGGTGGACTATTTCTGCCTTTTATGGCATATCATCTGTAGAATCTATACTCCTTTGAGTTGCTTGAAGATGTTTCACCTCTCATCCGAGAAGCTTCTCGGATGAGAGGTGAAACGTCTTCAAGCAACTCAAAGAAGTCCAGACGCTTTTCTTCCCAAGCTCCTTAGACTACGATGACTGAGAACCTTCACAGACATATCTATACTCCTCTTTTACCCATCTCTAAATCTCTGTACAGGAAGTGAGTAAAGTCTGTTTACTGAGATCAGCGGCAGCACTTTCAGAGTTTGAGAGCTAATAAAATTCAAAAAACGATCAAGAACCTCATAAGTCAAGACTGTGTTGATGTGGCCAAATAATACTCTGTTTGAAAATACAGCTGTTACATTATCTGAGTTTTTTTTTTCATTGTGTTGGCTAAAATAATTTTATGTTCACAATATTATTGCAGTATCCAGAGAAAATGTAAAAGATAAAAATTAATTTCACCCATAGCATTTTTTTTACGTTGGTTATTGCAATGTTGGATGGATCAAGAGGTTTAGCCTGGGGCAATCTGAGCCAGTTAAACACAAATTATCAATTGAGAATAAACAAATTAATAGAATGTGTTGTGTCTTTTTTGAAAGTAAAAATATGAATTCTATGACAACCACCAGAATATCCAAAAATATGTTTAAATTCTCTACAGTCCTTTGTTTTTTCTTTTTCCAAACATATCTTGCCCCGAAATCAGTTGTGATTACAAGAATAAAAAAAAAACAAACAAACAACGAACTGTAGTGGCTATATTTTCCTTGCTGAGTTTTCACTTTATTGTACATTTATAATAATCACATTTGGGACAGACAAGCAACTATTTTTATGCCTCGGTTTGTTAGCAACAACGACGGTGAAACCATTGTGTTGGCTCCGCCAGCCACTTGTTTATTTTCCACATAAACCTTTCACAATAAAGCTCAACATCCTTGAGATTTTTAAAATAAACTGAAATAATGATAAAATGTAAAATATTCTCAAACATCAATTTTCAGAATATGCATCAAACAAGTTACCTCAAGTATGAACATGAAATGTAAATGTGTGTGTATAATGCGTGTGGCACGCTCCTGACTCTGACTGAGAACATTGTCAGGTGGTGAAAAGAATACCACTGGCACGTCTTCTTTGGAGGAAGCAGTCTAGGGACAAGGGCGATGACTCATCTATCTCCAGGGTGAGGCAGTTAAACAACAACTCCTTGGTGGCAGGGCCCCTGGGGGGGATGAGGTTCGTCCTGAGTTCCTGAAGGGTCTGGATATTGTAGAACTGTCTTGGTTTACGCGTGTCTACAATGTTTTGTGGAGATAAGGGGTGGTACTTATTGATTGCCAGACTAGGGTGTTGGTACCCATTTTTAAGAAAGGGGATCAAAGGGTGTGTTCCAACTATAGCCAACCCAAAAAGGCTGATTTTGCTCATTTGGAAATACAGTTTTCAGTGGGAGAAACTTTGGGAAGGTTGGGGAAACCTGCAGTCAGCTCAGACTGAAGTTGGATGAGTGATGAAATGTTTCTCCCAAAGAAAACGCTATGTCCAGATGTACAGAAAGAACCTTTTGGGATTTACTTATCTGGATGATTGAGCATGCATCAAGATATAGATTTTGTGCGCTTGTCAACCAGCGTGAGGCCTGTTACAATTGCTCCTGCTTTTTTCTCTTTAGTTTAGCTTTTTTCTTACTTATTCTTTTTCTTTACTTGGACTTTGGTCTGTTTGAATATCTTTCGTTCAGTCATGTGGATCGAGAGAATTTTTGTTTTGCTTGTGACCGCAGAACTGTTACCTTTATTGAGCAATGGGACCACAACACAACTACTACATACACACAGGCTGCTTACTCGAGAGATCAGCTGATCGCACTGATGTTGCCTGCTCATCGGTCAGAACCACAGATGTACCTAGCTTAAATCTGGAGGAAAACACACCGAGGATGCAGAGGTGGAGGACAGAAGAGGACAAGGAAGGAGACGGTGAGACAGCGTTATTTCTGACTTCTCCACGGGGTCAGAGGAAATACTGGGAGTGTAGCTTGATGTGTTTCACTGAATCATGGATGCACCAGAATATTCCTGACCACAACGCATTCGTGGAAGGCTTCCACGCTGTTCGGGCAGACAGGGACAGCGCCGCAAACGGTAAGGTGAAAGGACGGGGGCTTGCTGTTCTTGTTGACAACCGTTGGTGTAACCCTGCCCACATAACAATCAAAGAAAGGATTTGTTGCCCGGACATTGAACTGTGCACTGTCTCCCTCTCTCTCCACATAGTTGCCTCCGGTGAAAGTCCTGACACCTCTCCCCCACATATTACTGTCACTCATGACCAGGTTCAGAAGCAAATGAGGAGACTCCACTCAGGCAAGTCTGCTGGACCAAACAGGTTGAGTCCCCGCTGGGAGGCCTGCACCTCCCAGCTTTGTGGAGTCTTTCATAAACTGTTCATGTTGAGTCTGAGTCTACAGGGGGTCCAAGTGCTGTGGAAGACATTATGCCTCATCCCTGTACCAAAGATGCAGTGGACCCAGCATTACAGGCCTGTGGCACTGATCTCCCACATTCATGAAGACTCTGGAAGGACTTATCCTGGACCAGCTCCAACCCATAGTCAGACCACATCAGGATCCCCTTCAGTTTGCTTACCAGCCCTGCCCTGAGGACACCATCATCTACCTGCTCCATCGTGTCTACACCCATCTGGACCAGCCGGTGAGCACTGTGAGGGTCATGTTTTTTGACTTTCCAGTGCATTTTTTCAACACCATCAGGCCAACCCTCCTGGGTGACAAGCTAATGTGACCAAGTGGTCGGCGGGGTTAGATAAAAGGAAATAATAAAATGACAACGCCACCTAGGGGTAATTTCACCCCCAGGAAATATATTTAAGAAAAATAGATAAAAGGAATAAAAGGAGGCTGCACAGATTCAAGGATGCACACTGAGGCAGGTTGGCTCCAATATTAAAACAGTTTTATTTATAGTAAAAATAAATAAAATATTAAAAACCAAGATGTAGCGTCATTGTTGACAGTGTCCTAAAGTGAAAATAAAACAATCATGGAACTTGGACTTACCAGCAGCCGTGGAACCAAAAGAAAATCACACAAAAAGAAAATCACTGCAGCCCACCCAGTGCTGTACAAAAGAAAGTGTGAAAACGACCCACCACCTGAGGTCCCAGGGCCACTGGCACATCCTCCGTTCACTGAAATAAAACACAGAAAAATATGTTAAAAGAATAAAAGGACACTGAGCATCAGGCTCGCTACAGATCATATAAAAAAACTAAAACACACTTTAATAACTTTAATAAAAGAAATCACACACGCACACACAGACACACACGCAGAAAGGCTTATACCCTACGGGTCAAACTACCACTCGTGCTGGTAGTAATTATCCTCAATCGCAAGCCGGCCTGGCTCCCCACCGGCTGAGACCGGCAACCGAGGCGATTTAAAGTCCCAGCACGACACTCGGGCAGAGGGTCGCTTCAGCCCGATCACAGAAGCGTGGGTACGAGCAACAGTCCAGAATAAAATAGAATAAAACCAGGCGAACCAGAAAAAGGTAAGCCTACTTAATAAAAACAAGATAAGACAAGCTAAAACAAGACAAGACGAGACAAGACAGCAGGCTCCACCGAGGAGGAGTCCTCACAACAGCGGCTGGGAAGGCGTTTCACTCTTCCGATTTAGGTTGGGCGATTTGCCACGGAGAGGTGAATACAGCAATCAAACCCCCAGGACCGGAGGCGCTATACTCTCAACTGGTGGGGATAACACGAGCACCTCTCTCCGCAACGTCGGAATAAACAAACTGCCGCGCTACAACAGGCCGCAAAAACTATATTAACACAAATTCCAGTACTCGGAGGGAATCTGAGGTTAAGCGAGAGCATACCTGTAGCTGTCATATGATCTGCTCTTGCTGATCAGTCCGTCGCAGTGTGCCAGCATTTACTGCTGCTTTGCGCCGAATGCACGGGAGGAATGATCCAGAAAAACACCGGCTTAGCTTTATACGGGCTAACACCACCCTGCAATCAATATGCAGGTGGGTTCCCAATTAACCTAGTTGCGCAGCGAAGAGAGCGAGCGCAGGAGAGAGAGTGAGAGAGAAAAAGAAAGGCGAGTAGCCCATCTGGCTACACTAACATAAATGCTAACAGCGAAGACCACAATATGTGCGTTTTCCACATTGTGTGTCTGACAAGGTAATCATAGGGAGGGAGCTCAATGGAGTGCTTTGGGGGCTTTGAGGTGGTGACCACCAGGGCCACCACAAGGGAACGTCCTCTCCCCCTTCCTCTTCACCCTCTACACCACAGACTACAGCCACTGCACAAAGACCTGCTGTCTTCAGAAGTTTTCTGATGACTCTCCGGTGGTTGGATGCATCAGGAGGGATGATTAATCAGAGTACCGGGCTGACCGGGTTGACTCTTTTGTTACATGGTGCAAGCAGAAACATCTGCAGCTCAAGGTGGCAAAGACCAAGGAATTGATGGTGGACTTAACCCCTGTTTCAATCCAGGGGATCAATGTGGACATTGTGGAGGACTATAAATACCTTGGAGTATACATAGACAATAAACTGGACTGGATTAAAAACCACACTGCACTTTACAGGAAAGGCTAGAGTCATCTCTATTTTCTGAGCCCGCTGAGGTCCTTCAACATCTGTCAGACAATGCTCAGGATTTGTCTGTGAGCCTGTTGTGGCCAGTGCTATCCTCTATGTGGTTGCATGCTGGGGGAGCAGGTTAAGATTCGCAGATGCCAACAGGCTCAATAAATTGATCCACAAGGCCAGTAATGTTATGGGGATGGAGCTGGATTCCCTTAAGGTGATGTCAGAGAGGTGGATGTTGTCAAATTTAAAGACAATGTTGGATAATATCTCCCACCCACTCCATTACATGCTTGCTAGCCACAGGAGCACGCTCAGTGAGAGACTGAGATTATCAAAAAGCACCACTGAACAACACAGGAATCCTTGATATATATTATTGAGTGATTTGTATATATTGTGCTATTTCTTAAATGTGTAAATCTGTGAAATTTTGTATTGTTAAATAGCCTAGTCTGTTTCTGTTTCTGTTACTGTTCTGGAGCAACTAAACCCACATAATTTCCTTAGGGATTAATAAAGTATGCTGATTTTGATTCTGATATAGGGGAATCACACTCCTCAGCCTCCCTTGGAAAGATAAAGGAGGAACAATGCGCTCCACTTGGAGCAGGAACTTGTTCCTAACCCAGAGTGAGCACCCCACCCTTTTCCTGGTTGTGGAACATTGGGCCATCTCTTTATTCTCTTGAGGATACTGGAGGATGCATGGAGTTTGCCCCACCAGTCTATGTGTTTTGTGGATTTGGAAAAGGCATTTGGCCGTGTCCCTCGGAGTGTCCGGTAGGGAGGTGCTCCAGGAGTATGGTGTGTGTCTGGTCATTGTTACGGGCAATTCAATTCGTTGCAAAATCTTGGTCCACATAGCTGTCAATACATTGGACCTGTTGCCCGTGGGTGATGGACTTCACCAGGGCTGCCCTTTGTCATCTTTGTCACTGATTCTGTGCATAATTTTCATGGACAGAATTTCTAGGTGTAGCCAAGTGGCGGAAGGCTTCCGCTTGGGATGTCTCAGAATGTCATCTCTGCTTTTTGAGATGACATGGTTCTTTTGGCTTCATCAGGTGATGGCCTCCAGCTCGTACAGGAATAGTTCGCAGCCAAGTGGGAATGAGAATCAGCACATCAAAATTGGAGGCCATGGTCTTCAGCTGGAAAAGGGTGGAGTGCCCACTCCAGGTCAGAGACGAGTTCCTGTCCCAAGTTGAGGAGTTTAAGTGTCTCAGGGTCTTGTTCACGAGTGATGGCAGAAGGGAGCGGGAGATTGACAGAAGGATTGGTGCGGCAGCTGCAGTGATGGGGATGCTGTACCAGTCCATTGTGGTAAAAAGAGAGCTGAGAGTAAAAGCGAAACTCTCAGTTTACCGGTTGATCTACATCCCTACCTTCACTGATGCTCATGAGATTTGGACAGTGACTGAAAGACCGAGATCACGGATACAAGCGCTGGAAATAAGCTTCCTCTCTCTCAGAGATTGGGTGAGGAGCTTGACCATCAGAGGGTGGGCTAAAAAAAAAACAACTTTTAAATATTACTTTTTCTGGGTCACAAAATAAACTTTATATTTTCAGGCAAGAATGTAGCTGTGTAAAGTTCAAATATCTGCTTGATTTATCAAGACATCACATATTTCCAAAATGCTCAGATGTTTTCGGAGACGGCCGTTACTCACCAGCTCGACAGCTGACCGGGAGGTCAAGGGTCACTAGAGCTTGCGAGAAAAGCAAACTCCTGGTGCATTGTTTGTAAACCCCCTGCGGTCTTTCGCTACTCAGGTTAAACATGATATATAAGTCACTTAGATAACTTCTAAATCTTAAAGCTTGATTTATTTCTGTGTGTTATTTGTTCGTGAGGAAATCGGTTTGGCTGAGATTAAAGTTAAGCTTCATAATATACTAATCACAGTTAAATTAAGAACTCCGCAGCTGTGATGTCATCAAGTACACTGCCGTTACAATGATGAGAATGATTATGCTGCATTCTAGGCAAGTCCGGACTCCCGTCCGAACTTACAAAGTCCAAACTTACCAAGAACGCAAGTATAGACTTGTGTACTTGAAAATTGAGTCTTCGGCCGGAGTCTTCGAATCTGGACAGCCTTCGTCGGTCGCTATGACATAATTGGCCTACAAATGTGGCCTCAGGAGGATGCGGTCCCTGTATTTTGGACAGCTCATATAAACCTTTATAACATATGAACTGTATATTCTTATCCCCTCATTTGTGCTTTGGTTTGTGGAAGTTGTTTCTTTACTGATCTTTTCCTGTCTTCTGTTGTTAGACTTGAGATATGACTGCACTATGCTGCTGCTGATGACTACAGTAATGTCTGCATTTCTTGAAAGATCACATCCCCCAAACTTAGTTTAAAGCAGCGGTCCCCAACCCCCAGGCTACGGACCGGTACCAGTCCGTGAGTCGTTTGGTACCGGGCCGCGAAAGTTGAGGCTCGGGTGTGAAATGTATGTTTTTCAGGGTTTTCATCGGTTTTTAGCATTATTTTGTTATCGTTTTCATTGTTAACTCGGTTTTCCTGGGTCTTTTCCCGTGTGTTATGAATAAATCTTCTTTTTTTCGGTACCGGTACTAGTTTTATTTTGTTGTATTTATCCGCGACACCTTAAAGGCCGGTCTGTGAAAATATTGTCGGGCATACACGGTCCGTGGCGCAAAAAAGTTTGGGGAAGTTTGGGGACCGGAATGAAAAAAAAAAAATGTGTTATTTAAACTAGAGACTGAACTTGTGACTGAACAATAAATACATTTTATTTTGATTATATAAGTAATGTAAGTACAGAATAAAAGCTGTGGAAAGCCTAAACTTAGTTTCAGAATAATTAAATCTGAGACTTTGTTTCATTGTAAGATTATAACAAAGATGGCAATATAATTGTTTGTTGTTCAGCAGAACAGTGTCCAGTATGTTGGCTATTATACTTTTTTGCATTTGAAAATAAAAGTTGGGCTGATTTTAACATCATTACAAAAAGTGTTGTTAATTATTTTTTAATCGTATTCAGGTTACCACAAATTGGTTTTTAATTTAGTTGAACTTGAAATGTTTGTCAGTAGGGTAAACAATTAGTATTGCACAGTCAGAAATATCAAGTTATTCTTAATACTGCATACTTGCAATGAATAAGTTATCCTAACAGTCATCTTAAGTAAGCTTTACTTAGTTATGCATAGCTTTTTTGAGTTCTGGAAACTAAATAGGTTTTATACTCTGTACTCAAAGTGAATAAGTTGCAAAAACTTAGTCGTCTTAAGTCAACTTTACTCAATTTTTTTGAGGCAACAAGTTTGCATAGTTTTCACAGTGCAGTCTTTCACATTGAAAGGAGCCAGTTTAGATTGCTTGGGCATGACACACTTGGAGGAGACCCTGGAGCAGGCACTGGAAATGTTTGAGGTTACATCTCTCAGCTGGTTTAGGAATGCCTCTTAGAGCGTTGAAGTTGCTTAAAGTATTACAAAACTATATATTAACATAATCATAAGACAAATACTTTAGTTTTCTATTTGTAAAAAACAGACAACAATATTTTAGGTTTTCTGAGGAAGTACTGTACTTTTGGTCAGATGGGTCCACATTTTTGTTGCTGTTCAGATAAACTTGATAAAGTATGGTAGGCTGTCTTTTTTTCTGTCTAATTGATTGTAAACGTTTCTCCTTCCTTAACAGGAAAATGAAACTCTATAGACACAATTAATAATATTATCCTGTAAATTAACACCTTCCACTATAAAGTCACAGGACTGAACGTCACAGAACGTTTGTTGCCCAGCTCCTTCATTACCATCTTTGTTTTACAATGAACCAAAGCCACTAACCACAAAACCACTAACCACAAAACCACAAATACTTTTATATAGGGAATAATAACAGTAGTAGAAAGGTTGAATTCAGTTGGTTAATTCAGCAAAGTGCAGTGGAGTACTAGTCTTCTGAGAGAAATTAGGTTTTGTATATAGTGTTGTAAATAGTCTGTTCCACTTGTAAATAAGCACTGAAGCAGAAGGGGGTGAACTTCCTATTTGTTGTTTTCTTTTGCTTGTTAAATTAGGGCGCTAACATTAGTGCTTGTCTTTTGTTTAGTTTTGTTTCATGCAGGGTTTAGGTAGCACTTTTTTTTGAAATAGCTTCTTTTGTTTATTATTTTGACCCTTGGTAACCCTGGAGTTAATGCTTTCAGTTTTGGTGTTATTGGTGGCAATAAACCTCACCTTTAACAGTATATTGGCTATTTGGGTCTGGCTTTGGGGACCCTTTTTAGCCTTTATGTTGCACTTGTGTACCCCTAGACCGGGATGTAACATGGACTCAGGAAAATATATTGTATAAAAGCAAGCAAAAAGTGCCAGCAGTGCAATGTAGGCTTTTGCCTATAGCTTGAGAGGAGCTTCATTCGGAGCTATTCAAGGGGCCAAAAACACAGTGACTTATTTAGAAAAAGATTTCCAATAACAAACCACATGGCCAAAGGTCACATACTTGATATTATTCAGTATTTTACAGCTTGGAGTTCAAATTGAAAATGATATTTTTTTTTTTTTTACATATTTATGTACATTCTGAGTGCCTCATTCAGGAAAAACGTAAAATTTTCAACTTTGTTTTTTGTGTTCTTCTGTTTTTAATCGTTGATAACACACTGGTAGTGTACAGTACAGGGCCGTGCAGAGAGGTTTAAAGGGGCGGGTGCTCAAAGTTAAAAAGGGGCACATTGAACCAGGCTGAATAACAACAACACACATTCATCAAGAATCTAATATGGGAAGGGCAGGGCAGTGTTGATCTGAGACTGTAGTCATTAAAAAGTCCACAGGAGAGATGGTAGCTGATTAAACAAGTGTCATGAGATAATAACAAAATGCAAAGACTGGTGACAGCGCTTGGAAGGCAACAAAAAACTGTGAGAAATAATTTAGGCTCTGCCTGTGAATCACTCTTTGCTTCTCTTCTTCCTTCCATCCCATCTTTTCATACATATCTCTCCACTTGCTGTCTATATGAGAACAAGGCACAACTTGCTATTGCAATAAACTATAATCTAATTAACCACACCTAACAACTCTTGCACTTAATCTATAATAAAATGATGACAGAAAAATGTTATAGCACTGCCTTTAGTAGCCTCACACAGCTCCTACTGTTTCCTCCTCATGTCCTTACCAGCCATGTCTGGACAATGTTATATCATGAGTAATAATTTAAAATAATCCATATACATAAAACAAACACATGCACGCACACACAGTGACATTTTAGACCTTCTTCAGAATACTGTATATACTATGGGCATCA